GAACCGGGCGATTCATAGCGAGAACTGGGCAACAGTGACATGGGTGATTTCAACCGAGAACCGAGTGACAGTGACACGGGAGATTTGCGATTTCAACTGAGAACCAGGCGATAGTGACACAAGCGATGGCCGTTTTCAACTGAGAACCGGGCGATTCGTAGCGAAAACCAGGCGACAGCGACACAGGAGATTTCAACGGTTAGGGGTAAAGTCTGAATTTTTAAAAAATTGAAGGGCATTTTTAGTGACACGGGCGATTTACTATTCAACCGAGAACCGGGCAGCAGTAACACGGGTGATGACCGTTTTCAACGAGAACCGGGTGATTTGTGATTTCAACCGAGAACCGGGCGACAGTGACACGGGCGATGACAGTTTTCAATCGAGAACCGGGAGATAGTGACACAGGTGATTTTTTCAACTGAGAACCGGGCAATTTGTGATTTTAACCGAGAACCGGGAGACAGTGACATGGGTGATGACTGTTTTCAACCGAGAACCAGGTGACAGTGACATGGACGATGACAGTTTTCAACCGAGAACCAGGTGATTCGTAGCGAGAACCGGGCAACAGTGACACGGACGATTTCAATGCGATTTCAACTGAGAAACGGGCGATTCATACGGAGAATAGGGCGATTTGTGATTTCAATCGAGAACTGGGTGACAGTGACACGATGAATGTTTTCAACCGAGAACCGAGTGACTCGAAGCGAGAATCAAGCGACAATGACATGTGCGATTTTTTCAATCGAGAACTGGGCGATTTGCGATTTCAATCTAGAATCGGGCGACAGTGACACGGGCGATGCGTAGCGAGAACCGGGAGATTCTCAATGCGATTTCAACTGAGAACCGTGCAATTTGTGATTTCAACCGAGAACCAGGTGACTCGTAGCGAGAACCAAGTGATTCGTAGCGAGAAGCAAGTGATTCGTAATGAGAACCAGGCGATAGTAACACGGGCGATTTCAACGGTCAGGGGTAAAGTCTGATTTTTTTAAAAAATTGAGGGGCATTTTTTATCCCACACATTAGACACATGCAGTGCATGGGTCTCAATCCTGCTAAGTAACTAATGCATTTATTGATGGCCCGACAGAAGCATTTATACCATGCAGACTTATATTAAAGCTTCGATGTGGGATAATTTCCGCACATTGTGTGCGTAAAATCATTATAATATTTAGACGACAATTCAAAGTATATTATTATTAAGTGGTGTAGTTGGTTATGACTCACAATTTTTTCTTGGATGTCTCAACTTTGAGCCCCTTGGGTGCCATCCAACTCCTTTTTGTTGCCTAAAAGGAAGAAAATAAAGTGAAAGGAAAAAAAATACCCTTGGGCGCCATCCAACTCCTTTTTGTTGCCTAAAAGGAGAGAATAAAGTAAAAAGGAAAAAAAAAAAAAAAAAAACTAAAACGTTTTTTAAAAAAAAAAGTGCAAAAGAAAGAAAATAAAAGTACAAAGGAAAAAAGTAAAAAATAAAAGGTTTTTCAATAATAAAAAAAAAAGTAATACAATATTTTTTATTTTATTGTCAAAAAAACAAAAGGCAATATGACAAGCATTAAAAGGTAATATAACAAGTATTTATTGTCAAAAAATAAAATAAAAAGTATACAAAATTAAAAGGTACCTTGGTAGCATCATTTTTTTATTTTTGTTGTTGAAAAAAAATGAAAGGTAATACAACAAGTAAAAAAAAATATAGCACAACATCTTATTATTTTTTTGGATTTGTTATTATTTGTATAATAAAATAATTATAAAATATAAACCTACAATTCAATTTCAGTATATAATATTATAGT